CTTCTTCTTCTTCTTCTTCTTCTTCTTCTTCTTCTTCTTCTTCTTCTTCTTCTTCTTCTTCTTCTTCTTTTTTTGCAGAACTGGGATTGAACTCAGGCCCTTGTGCTTGTCAAGGAAGCACTTATTCTACTGAGCCATCTCCCCGGCCTTTCTTCTTTAAAGAGCATCTCATTAAGTTGCTCAGTTGCCCAGGCTGGTCTTGAACTTGCCCTTTTCCTGCCTTTGCCTCCCAGAGTGCTGAAATTACAGCCAAGTGCCACCATGCCTGGCTTCATGTGCATAGTCTAAAGGCTTTTTGGCTTTTTTTTTTCTTTTTTTTTTTGTATTTTAGGGAAGGGTCTACAGGGTGTTGAGGGTCTTACTACTAGATCGACTCATAGTGATCCTCCTGTTTACAGCCTCCCAAGCGCTGGGATCACAGGCACGCACCATCATGCCCAGTCTCATTTGCCGTTTCAACACGCCCCCGGGGCGGGGGCGGCATGGCAGGCCCCTGAGCCTGCTTGCAGGTGCTTTAATCCGCTAAGCTATTTGGCCGGCCCTCCCGAAGAGGTTTCTACAGCAACTCAGAAAGCCGGGTAACAGATTATCTCTGGGAAGCCTGGAGTGGCAAATTTAGGAGAAAAGATAATTTCCACACCTCTGCATGATTTGAATCTGTTAATAATACTATATTGCTATTGTCAACTCTTGTCATTAAGCAGAAGGAGATGTCAATTTAGGAAAATATTTGTTTAATATATCCACTCAAGGCAGTGATTACAGCTTTAAAGTCTCAAATGAAACATAAGCACAGGCAAATCATATGCATTGCAATTTTCTTTTCATTCACCCAGAGAAATTAGTTTCTTCCAAAGGGATGTTGACCAGATAAAATGTTCTCTAGAATAAAACCTGAAGAACTGCTCACATGCTTGATTTTGGAGTGTCTGTGATAACTTTCATTGATTTGCATTGTAAGCCAGTTACTTCCTCGTTTCCAAAACCACTCTCCCTGATCCGGCACGACTTTCTGCAAAATTAGCCCCTCGGGGTGAAAGCTGTGCCCATCACCACCGCTCTAGAGCAGGCCGTGTGAGCAGAGAAAAGCAAGAGAAAGCTTGCCCTGCAGACTCGGGCAGCTGGCGGTCACCAAACAGCCAGTCCGAGCGCACGAGCTCCCGGAGCCTGCTCACAGCAGCTTTTGGGTGGCGTCAATGTTTTGTGAGGAAGCTGCCCATCTGTGCTCAGGCCCGCCTCCTCCAGAAACAAAACCTCTCCCAAGTTACCGTGAACCGAGACAGCTGTGCTGAGGCCTGAGATGTTGTGGTGACAAAGCTCCGGCGGCCGGGTGGTGGCCTCGGTTCTCTGCACCACCCTCGTCTAAGTCTCATTAAAAAAAAAAAAAAATTGAGCAAGTTTCCACTTTTCTCTTTCTTAGATGTTTGGAACATGTTAGAATATGATAGTAGTCATCCCTACAGGAATCACATCTTGTGGTTTTCTATATTTTAAATTATTTATTTATTTATTTGGTCTATCATTTACTTATTGTGAGATCTGACTAGGGTCTTGCTATGCACTCAGACTCAGATCCTCCTATCTTAGCCTCCCCAGCACTGGGATTACAGACATGCCCCTGTAATTAGAAGAGGTGGGGAAGAGAAGTGGAGACACTATCCAGCTGTCAGCTTTATCGCCACGCCTGGTTTGGGTGGCCAGCATGGCATGTGGTACCAGGGATCGAACCTAGGTCCTTGTACTTGCCAGGTAGGTACTTAGACTACCAAGCTATCGCCCCAGCCCCTGGCTGTTCTTATTGCTTCGCCCAGCAGCTGTACCTAGAACTATCTATCAAAGTGGTACCCATGGATTTAAAAAAGCCTAAGGAACCAAGACAGTAACACCAGATTGGTTAAGGATGCCCAAGGAAGGCTATGCCCGTGCCGGACTCACTGCTTCATGTTACGTTTTGCACAACCAGGATGATGCACAGGCTCTTACAGGGCATATAAAAGTCTCTCCATCATAGAGTTCACAGCATTGCTAATGGGCAGAAAACACAGCAGCAAATAGCTCCAACCCACTGCGGTTTGTGCCGTACTGGATTAGACGCCGAGTCCCATGGAAACAGAACGCTGTGACTCACTCCACATCTTCATTGGGGTCTGGAGGTGAAGAGCAGGCTGAACAGGGATGCTATGGTGACAAAGTTAAGATGGTGTCCGAGACGGGCCTTAAAGGATGCAGGGGAGTTCATGGCGGGGAGAAAGGGAAGAAAGGCATTCTGAACCAAGATGGCAGTGTGTGCCCAGGTGCGAGGCAGGAGCAACATTGTGGGCTGGGCAGAGGCTGGGGAGCTGCTGAGGTGGATTTCAGGACAACTTTAGATGAGGACTCAAGAGTTTGGGCTTTCTCTGTTGGGTGCGAGCAGCTACAGAGAGTGCTTCCACTGTGGACAGGTTTCATGGGTGCTTCAGAAACATGGCTCTGAAAGTAATAAAGGGGCACACGTCTTCCTATAAGGTGACCAGGTAGAAGGCACTGCCAAAGTCAGCGTGGCCCAGCAGTAGCCCCAGCCACAGAAATGAAGGAAAGGTACAAAAGGGACAAGACAAGGCTTCCAGGGACAAAGGAGTGGCTCAGGGGAGGAACAACCCTGGCCTCTGGCGGGGACCTGAGAAGCCAGAAGGGTGGGGAACGGATTGTGCACGATGGGAGGAGAGGGTGGCTGGAAAGGGGGGAGGGCCGGAAGGGGGGCGGGGCTGGGGAGGAGCTGGAGCAAGGGGAAGGGGTTAGGGAGGGGGGAGGAGCCGAGGAGACCCGGTGGAGCTGAGGAGCCTGGGAGGGGCTGGGCTCTCCGCCCAAAGAGCCAGTTCCGTGCTCCAAAGGTCTGCAAGAAATAAACCTAAGGCTTTGCTGTGTGTGTAACTGCAGCACTGAGTCTCAAAGAACCAGAAGTTTTGAGTTCAATCCCCGATTCCGCCAAAAAAAAAAAACAAACAGAAGTTTAATGTAAGCGCAAATTAAAAATTTGAAAATAAAAATAAATTAATTAATTAAAAGTTTGTTGGGGTATGTAGGAGAGCTTCTAGCGCTCAGGCGCAGCATGGGTGAGATCCTCTCCCACCCCCTTGTAAACCTGAACACCACTCCGCAGCACCCTCCACACCCGCCGAGCGAGAACTTCTGCTACGTTCTAGGGAGCCCCAGATCCAGCGCTAGCCCAGGCCCAGTGAGTGTGTAGGAGAGCTGCCTCTTCCCACTACTCCACCTTGTCCCCTTCAGACTCAGCTCAGGCCTGGCATACAGGCCTGAGGTGAAACCCTGCAGCTTTAGTCCCTGCAGAGACAGCAGGGGACAGAACCACCCAGCTAGTCCAGGAGCAGAACATCTTACCAGAGGGGCACAACAGGTTCACCCCCAAGGGCAGCAGCAGGAAGGAGCTGAGCACAGCAGCCAGACCCAAGCCAGGCACAACTGGATAAATCCAAACTTTGTAGATCTACACCTGAACTTCAGTAGGTGCTAAGGCTATAACTGCAACAAAGATCTACAACAAAGGTCAGAAGACAGTGCTACACAAAATGACAATGAGAAGGAGCAAAATGCAATCTCAGACCCCAAGCCCACCCATAATAGGTGCAGAGGACACTAACGCAGAACAAGTTGGGAATCACACAGCTGAAATCAATGAATCCACAGCTTCTGAAATAAAGAAAAAACTGCAGATAGGTATACAGGAACTCAGATTGGAAATGAAAAAGAAATGCCTGTCTTAATAGGATCCACAGTAAAGAATCAAATGCAGAAACATATGGAGGAATCCCAATGCCCACCCAGAACAAGTGCAGAGGACATTAGCTCAGCTGAAATGTATGAATTAATGGTGTTGAAAGTAAATAAGCAACAGCAGAAACTTATGGAGGAACTCAGAGCAGAATTATTTTCTGAAATAAAAAAATCTCTGAGCTCATAGAATCTGAAGTAAAGAATCAAATACAGAAACATAAAGAGGAAACCCAATCTGAAAAAAAAACTGCAGTAAAAGAATTAATAACTGTTTCTGAAGAAGACATTGATAAAAAAAAAATAGAGGAGATTAGAAATGACAGATTCCTTGAATGAGCAATACAGGAAAGAAATAGATCACATGAAGAAGAGTCAAAGAGATATAGAGAAACTTAAAATCTCAATCACAAGCTTGCAAAACCATTTAAGTGAAAGTGAAGACAGAGTTTCAGATCTTGAAGATGCTGGTGCAGCTAGTGAAAAGGTAAGAAAGGATCTCTTCAAAACAACTAGGATGCAGGAAAAAATAATTCATCACTTGCAAGACAATGCAAGGATGAACAATGTGACACTAATAGGTATCAAGAAGAAAGAAGGACTCGATACAAATGGCCTTTAAAAAATATATGGGCAGAAGTAATAGCAGAAAACTTCCCAAATATGAGGAAACAATCTGCCATTCAGGTGACCGAAGCATACACAATGCCAAGTAACCTCAACCCAATTGAAAACACACTGAGACATATAATAGTCAAGATCCCAGAAATTCACCTCAAGAATAATATACAGAGAGCCACTAGAGAAAAGAAGCAGATCACATTCAAAGGAAAACCTATCAGAAATACGGCCGACTTCTCTTCACAAACCATGAAGGCAAGAAGAGCATGGAGCAGAGTACTTCAAGTCCTCTATGACAACCAATTCCAGCCCAGACTACTATACCCTGCAGAACTCTCAAGTTTGATGGAGAAGTGAAATACTTCCATGACAAAGAACAACTAAAGAATTTCATGATGACAAAGCCAACCCTGAAGAGGATCCTGAAAGATGTTCTAGACAGGAACCAAAATGATCAGAACTCCATGAATGAGATCAGAAGCAACCAACTAAATAGGGCAAGCAATTAAACACAGGAAAAAAGGAGAAAGCGACAACAGGTAAATAACATGTCAATCATAAGTCAATACATCTCAATTCTAACTATCAATGTAAATGGACTCAATTCACCAATTAAGAGAAATAGACTGGCACAGTGGATTAGGAAACAAAATCTAATAATATGCTGTATACAAGAAACATATTTAACTCATAAAGACATTCATAGGCTGAAAGTGAAAGGATGGAAAACAATACTACCCACCCCAGCACCTCAGAAAAAAGCAGGGGTAGCAATCCTATTCTCAGACAGTCTCAACTTCAAACCAAGAGTGATCAAGTGAAATAAAGAAGGCCACTCTATACTGGTTAGGGGAAAAATACAAGAGGAAGAGGTAACACTCATAAATATGTATGCACTAAACACTGGAACACCCAACTATATAAAGCAAATCTTAATGGACATGAAAAATCTAATATCCAATACCACAGTCTTAACAGGAGACCTTAACACCTCCTAATCCTAAAAAGATAGGTCAACCAGCCAGAAAATTAGCAAAGGCTGCCATGTTCTGGGAATCCCCAGACCCAGTCCAAGCCCAGGCCTAGTGAGTGTGTGGGAGAGCTTCCGGCTACCCTGCACTGGTGGGACTACTGGTCACCAGGTGCAGCATGGGTGAGACCCTCTTCCACTCTGTACCACCACCCCAAACACATGTGCCGAGTAGGAATTTCTGCCACACTCCAGGAACCCCCAGAGCCAGTCCTAGTACAGGCCCAGTGAGTGTGTAGGAGAGCTGCCTCTCCCCACTACTCCACCTTGTTCCCTCCAGACTCAGCTCAGGCCTGTTATATAGGCCTGGGGTGAAACCCTTCAGCAGCAATCCCTGCAGAGAGTGTAGGGGACAGAATCACCCAGTTAGTCCAGGAGCAGAACATCTTACCAGAGGGGCACAA